GAAGGAAGGAAGGAAGGAAGGAAGGAAGGAAGGAAGGAAGGAAGGAAGGAAGGAAGTTAAGTTGATGAAAATATTTAAGATTTATATTGAGAATATATACCATAAACCAAAGAGAGGAAATCAGTTGCTGAGTATTATTTGACTACAGCCTCCTGTAATTAAAGCATTGGAATAATTAAGTTTGGACTAGCACACTTGTTTTGACATACAGTGGCAGTCTTGAATGCTTTAAGTGTTGGTGAGGAGATTTGAAACTCTAAGGAAGTTTTTGTGGGAAACATTCAAGCTTTTTCACATCCTTTATATTATCTGTATACATTATCTATATATCTGTACTGGGGGATCTTTAGATACAGGTAATTCTTCATAATAAATCTCCCTTAACTCTTGATGACCACATTGAGACATCTATGTTGTTTTCTTGGCAACAAAATGGAAGTGGTTTCTCATCGCCATTTCCAAAATTTTATTTTAATTTCCCAATGCAGGGCCAAGTTTGCAGACCTGGGGTTTTCTGTTGGTCTTCCATCCAGGAACTAAAGAGGTCCAGTTAGATGTTGTCACATGTTATGATTATGTCATAACAAATTACACACACACACATATACACACACACATACTTTTAGCTTCCTCCCTTCAGCTTAAGAATGTGTCTTAAGAACATGCACATTAATATGTCAACATTTATCTTAATTGCCAGTTATTATTATATATTACCAAAATTTGTGACTCTTAGATGTTTGCACAACATTTATATGTATCTGTGGTTTGCTCAAAGTGCTTTAAAATGTAAGCTTTTAAGTAAGCCTTGGCAGTAGCAGGCAATCTCAGGCCAGTGCAAATCTTAGTTCTTGATTTTTGTTTACCATTTGCACTGTATTGCAAATATGTTTCCTATATTTGTCACATTTTGAATCAAACATTGTCCTACATATTATTCCTGGTTCCTTCCTAATTTGTGTCTCTGTGTGTCTGTGGCTGTGTATTTCCAGTGCACTATCACCAGCTTTTAGGGAAATAATTACCAAATATCCCTGATTTATTTTATAGTTCATAAACTTGTCAGATATCCAAAAAGAATTTGATTTCAATTAGAAAGAGAATATATTATCAAACAGTGCTTCTAGAAATGGACTAAGATCTGTACTGAATTCTGATAGTAATATAAAAGGACAAATGTATTTTCAAAACAAGCAGTAATTTGTTTAACATTTCACTGCTTCTTAACTTGGCCATTTTTATTTTTTTCACTTCATCAGCAGTAGTTTCTTCTCTGGAGAAATACAGCTGTCCACTAAAATGATTGTGCCCTTTGCATATATGTGTAAATAAAGTAGTAAATTTCATCACTAAGAAATCAGAATAAGAATTACTTTGAAAGACCTTTCTCCTTCTGCAAAAATGAATCTATTATGGGCATTATTAATATCCTCTAAATTTACACCTTTCCAGTCCTGCATTTAACTATTAAAGGTATTTAACTATTAACTATTAAAGAGCAATTCACATTTATAATTTATAATTATCAGCTTTTTCCTATGGAAAAAGAGCTGCCAGCTATTAAAAAAAAAACTGGTAACTGGATGGACCTGGAAATGGAACCCAGAGAGAAAATCCCACTCATTCGTCTACGATGTTCAGCTACTGCATATGCTTATGAGACGATTGTCACCAAGGAATGACATTTATAGATGCTATCAAATAATACATGTTGCCCCCCCCAAAAAAAATCCAGACAACATCTGTGCTATAGCCAGAAAGCAGGAGGTTATCTTCAGAGCAGGTAATTCACCAAAATAAGGCAGCAGTGAACAATGGATAAAATGCATTATGTGGTGATGGTATGGAAAGCATTTGCCTTTTTCACAGCCAAGGAGGCAGCACATATTCTAAGTCTTTTATTAGGACAAGAACAAATATAAGCATTTTTTATTGTGTATGTGTGCATGTGTGTGGAGAGAGACAGACGGACAGAGGTTACAGACTTGACTCACTGTTCCTGCCAAGTATACAGTGGCTTAAACTACACAACATTTCTTGATCCCAAGTGGATAAATGAATAGGGCTGAGCAGGGCTGGCTGCAGTGTGTTCACTGAGCTGTGCAAATATAATGACAGATTCACCTTGCCCTCAACCTGCCAAATTGCCAGAACCGGGGGGGGGGGGGGGGACGGTTGGGTTTTTGCCAGTTCCTTTCACATTTCTGGTGCTGTCCAGGTAATCACATTTCCTTTCTTCCCCCAAACAGCTCATTTAAATAATATAAAGAAATCTATCTTCCTATTATTTTGACTGACAGGTCCAGATATCACTATTCCCCTCCCCTTCAATTTGCCAAGTTGAAGAAAATAAAGAGATTTTCTTCCACCAAAATGGAGGTAACATGAGTTTTTAATTTAGAACTCTGCACTTTTCAGAGATTGCTAGAAAATCAAAGTTGTTTTAGATTAAATGGTCTGGAACATGTTAGGGGTCTGGAACATGTTCTTTCTAGGTAAATAAGGTTCTGTCTTTAGTATGACTATGTTCATAGCATCCTATATATTTAATGACATTCACATATTTTGTGAATATTATTCTTGACACTTTACATATTTTGTTTCCCAGAGATTGAAGCTCAGCAACATAATGTCACATTGGCTCTGAGGCCTACCTTGATCTCTGTTGTTATGAAAACTTTGCCTTTGAATGTCTACATGAAATATTAATATAATAAATGCCAAGCACAGGTTTTGCTAGTGGGATTTACAACAACTATCTTACTATTTATCTTAGGTAATTGTTAGAGAATGCACATCTAAAGGGCCAAAAGTTGTTTCATTAATATTTTTGAAGAACACTGCTGTAATTCTGTTTGACAAACATTTTCTTAATCCTTCTTTCAGTAAAGAAAGTTGTCTACTGTTTTACTTCAGTGGTCCACAATTTCTAGCATTCTGATTTATGCATTCATCATAATATATGTGGTTTAATTTTTTCTTATTTATTTATTTTTTATTTAAAGCAAAGGTGTATTTTCAGAAAAGATAATATCAATAAATGGGCAGAATTACTAAAAGTATACAGTTAATGCTCAATATGACATTAATAAAAAGTAAGTCATGCCAGGCAAAGTACATTTAGTTGTTTTATGATATTAAAAAGTATGATTTTTTTACCTTAATGCCAGAATCTCCACTATACTATCATTTATAAATGTTAAAAGAAAAAGAAAGAAAGAAAGAAAGAAAGAAAGAAAGAAAGAAAGAAAGAAAGAAAGACACCCCAAAAATAAAACAGATAAGTATTTGATATCTGAGTTCCCCCTTCTTTGTTCTCCACCCAATTTTCAGTACCTATTGGCTTCAACTTTAGAAACCATATTCAAAACTTTTGTACTTATCTTGCTGCATAACAGATAATATATATGAAAGCCATTCTTGCTTAAATTTGGTCCAACCTCTGTTAGTTTTGCCACCACTGCATACTCTCCAAGTTTTAAGTTCCCAATCAGATATCACTGGTAGTATGACTTTGTTCCAGTGTTATCCAAAGTTTGTCCTCGCAGCCATAAGCATATATATTAATAAATGATGGTATTTTTTTAATTGATATGTTCTGGAATTATACCCAGTTTTAAAAAAATGTGGTTTCATTTCCAATTTGAACCCTAAGATTTTCTGAATGGTGTTGTGTATTCTTTCCATTATTTTTGGGTTTTTTGCACATCCACCACATATGGTAGAATGTTCCTTTCATCTTGTGGCATTTCCACATTTATTACTCTATGATTTGTCTGTTTTGGCCATTACTGATGGAGTTGTATATGATCTTAAAACATTTTATACCAGTTTTTTCTCAAGTCATAGCTTGGAATAAATTTTATAGACTTATTCCACAGCTCTCCCCATTATTGTATTGGGACTGTTTCTCTAAAGTCTTGCATCCAGTTTATCATACATATTTTTATTTGTTCTGTCTCTGTATCATATCTAAGTAGGAGTTTATATATGTAGCCTAATAAGTCACCTTGATTCTGTATAAATATTTCAAATTCTGTCATTTTTCTTAATCTCCCTCATTTTTGAGACCAGATTTTATTCTTCCAGAAATTTGCAGGTACATCAGCCATGGTATGTTCCAGCCTTCATACTCTTGCTGTGTCTTTAATCTATTCATGGGTGTGTGTGGACCAAATCTGCATATGCAATTACATTTTTCTTACTATAATCATCTCCAGCATGAAAAGCATTTAGAGGAGAGGCTAACTGTGAATCTTGGACTTACTATTTTCTTTGTGGAGTTCCATACTTTTATCAAGCTTTGTTTTATAATGTGTCCTTTTAGGTTCTTAACCTCTTTTGTGTCCATGTACCATAAATATCTATGGAGCCCATTAGCTAGGCTGCCTCCTTCCAGTATTAACATTCTGCTGTCAAACAGCTTGCTCTATAATACAGTTTGAAGTTTGGAAGAACGAGGCCACCTCTGTCTTTTGAGCCTTGTAAAATTTTAATTTTGACTCTGGTTTTTTTTTCCACACCATATAAATATGCTAACAATTTCTTGCCATTCTTGTAAAGTTTTTTCCTGAAATTAGAATTGGCATCATTTGAAACAGATATGGAAACAGATCTTGGGTAAAACATTCATTTTGATAATTACAATTGATCCTAACCAGGAAGGCTTTAAATTTTTCCACCTTTCAAGATCTCTTTTAATTTCT